TTAGGATTGCCGAGAAACTCCCATTTCTGTTCCCGCCAGCAGTTTTTAATGGCAGGGCTGTCAGATTAGTCGAAAACCAGATTTTTCCTGAGCCGCACACAGAGTACGTGACGCGGATTTAGCGCCACCAGTTGCACTTGGCGACTTTTGGAACTACAGCTTCCACACCAGGACCGATAGATGGCGCTACAAGCCATTAAACACAAAATTAAACGACGCCGCTGTCGCCATCTATCGGCCCAGGTGTGGAAACTGTAATTTTCCAGAAGTTTTGGGTTTTCTCGGCGTTGGGTAGGCGGAATTGCATGATTCTTTTTTTCTTAATTATTTACAGGACAAGGGGCACATTTCTAAGCAAGAATAAAGTTGCTCCGACAGGTGGCGCATGTGTAACTTTAAATTTTAAAATTTTTAATAATTTTTTAAAATAGTTTGAAAGTGGTGAGGAAAATAATTTTATTGCCCAATTAAACAACAAGCAATAAGAAATTATTATGCAAAGTTTCAACTTAATAAACCCAACAGAATTTTTGATATGATTTTTTAAAGTTTAAAAACTGTTTTTTGTCGATTTCTCCGACATGGGTCATGCTAGGCCCTCGGTTTTAGTCTTGAAAAATCTCCATCAACCATCTACACAAACGCTCCGAAGCTTTTGATCATAACTCAAACGGCTCCCGAGATATGGCGGAAACAAAATTCTCTAGGGGAAACATAAAAAATGCCCACTTAATTTTTTTAAATTTAAAATTTTTTAAAAATTTTAAATCTTTTTTTGGTGGATTTTTTAGAGTTAATACATTAAAAAACAATGCAAATTACAAAATAAATTAAAATTTTATTAGTTTACATTACATTAAATTAAATCAAATTAAATTAAACAAAACAAATATAAAGTTAAAATTTAATAAATAAATAAAATTTAAATAAAAAACAACAACATAAAATTAATGAAGGCGGCAGCCATTTCCCTGGTCAAAGGTGGTACTAGTTCATAAGTGAATGTTGTACTTTGGCTCTGCAAAGACTGCCTCTTCTTAGCAGGTTCATTCAGTGCAAAGCTGCTGCTTACACCAGTCAACTCAAATCATTAGCCGTCTGCTAACAGGTTGTATATCTAACCTGCTGATGAGTTGACTGGTGAGAGAACCTAATTGGTGAGAGCAGCAGCTCCGCACTGACGGCNAGGCGGAAGGCGATGAAGGCGCCAGCGGTCAGCAGGGAAATGGCTGCCGCCGCAGCAACTGCCATCATCGGCAGAGAAGAGGTGGCAGATTAGGGAGGAGAAGATGAGTCGACCTTCTTCTTTTCCTCCTCTTTCTTTTTTTTCTCTTCTTTTTTCTCTTCTTCCTCCTTTTTGAGAATTTTTTGAGGAGGCGAAGTTGCCACTTCAACGGCAAACTTTAAAATTTTTTCAACAGTTTTTGGAGGTTTCAGCTGATCCAAAAACTCCTCTTTATTCTCCTTTTTCTCTGCTGCACTGCTTGTGGACATTTTTGCTGCTTCCACATTTTCTCCAATAAAAAACAACAACATAAAACACAAAAAATTTAAGTACAGAGCCGATTTGATGATTGACGACTTGTAACTTTCCTCAAAGTTGTTCATTTTTGTGTTTCAGCAGAAAAAGTTCAGTCAGAACGTGGTTGCACTTTCTGCGAGTTTTCTCATAACTGTTTGCCAAAGCCACCGAGGCATCAAAGTTTGCGAGAAGGGGCAAAATTTAAAAGTTAGTCATTTTTGGCTAAATAGAAATTTGCGCTTTATACCTTTATACTGATAAAAAGTGCCCGTTGATCTTGCATCAGGTCATCGAAAAGAGTATCCAAAGACAGTAATGGTTTTTCTTTTGAGCGTTTCATGGTTGGTGAGTAATAGTTGAGAAAATGGACGTATCTTTTAGATGGAGAACGACGGGAACTTGATCATATCAAAATGAGGTGAACGAGATAAACGAGCGCGAGCAGACTACAGCAGCAACAGAAGAGTTTCTACTTTGACAAAAGCTCAACAAGAGCTTGGGCGGCGACAGCTGCCACAGCAGTGATCAGCTAGGATCAAATTTTTTTGCCAAAAAAATCAGAAAAAATAGCTTAGTAAACGCTAAGAGTGTCAGCTCCGTAGCTTTAGCCGTTCCCAAGATCTCAGACCCCTGAGACAAACCGGCCAGAACCAAACAAACTTTGACGCCGGAAACTTTTCTCATAAAAATGATTCACTTTTTTCATTTGATTTTTCAGGCCCTTGTTCATCATGGAGTATAGCCAAGTACATGGCATCTGATGATTTAAGGTATTAGGTCTTTTAAAAGTGAATTTTAACAAAATTTTTACTCAAACACACACCCAAAGTCCAACACCCACCACACAGTTACACAAAGTTAAAAAAAGTCAAAATTTATTTATAAAGTGAAAGAGTACAAAGACAAAGTTAAAAAAGAACAAATGGATGAGTTTTCGCCCAAAATAATACTAGATGACTATTGATTTACTATTGACTGGAAGGAACCGCCGGTCGGTGGAAAACACCGCCGCCACTTTCTCTTTGCAAAATGGCCAAGTAGGAAAGCACCGAGGAGGAGCAGTCCATGTCTTTTGTGGCCTCCTCTTAGAGCAGTTGAATAGCGGCGTCCGGGCTGGTGAGTCGTCGATCAGTGCGCCCATCAGATCGTCTCAGTCAATCTGACAGGTAAAGACTTCCCTCTTTAGTTGCTGCTGCTGATCAGGGCAGTCCTCGTCGTCGGCGCTGACGGAAATGCGCAGCTTGTCCAGCTCGATAAAGTTGTAGCTGTCATCGGCGAGCTTGAGGGTGGCCACCTCGTCCGGACCACTGCCGCCACCACTACTGTCCAAGCTGGTCACATCCGCCTCCTCCACGCCGGCCATCAGTTTTGCAGCATCGGTGGCCTCCTCTTCCTCGTGATCATCAAAGTCGATCAGCTCGAAGCCATCGGGCGGTGGACTGCGGTGAGCTGCTGAGGCAAAAGCGGACGGCGGCGGCAGATTCCTGGAAGCGCCTGCTGCTACTGCGTCTTTTCAGACAGCAGTCTGCTGCTCTACCTTTCGGTAGGTAGCCGCCGCCGCATTCTACTCATCCTTCTTCTTCCTCTTGGCACGCCGATTCTTCCGTGAGCCAAAGGACAGCGGCAGACCAAATCGACGCATTTCGAGCTGCTCAATGGCCTCCTGGCTAATCTGGTCGGCGCTGTGATCGACGGCAGACATGACCACGTCTAAGGAGCTGTCTCCAGCGGCCGAAGCTTCAGGCGGTGGGGGAGACATCACAGTAGATGGTGATGGTGGTGGCTGAGATGATCTGGAAGCGAGGACTTCCAGCCAGTTCTGGTCAGTCCGGCAATTCAAAGTGATCTTCACTGACAGAGAGCACACACGCTGCAGCTGCTGCTGCTCACAACAGCAAGCGTAACAGCATCTGCGGAGCGGTCAAAACACGTGAGAGAAAAATGTAAACAAACTTCAAACTCCCTGGCCAAATGTTCCGCAAATTCTTGATTCTTCCCTAGGCCGTCCACCTGAAGAAGTGCATCAACTCTCAACGGATGGCAGCTACAATGCCAGCAGACGCCCAAAACAATCAATGAGGATTCCTGACTAATGTTTCTCAAAATCTCTCTCACAGAAAAGCCGACTACACCGAGGGCATCTTCTAGGCAATTGGCCTGAAGGAGTTTCACCGGTACCTGCTGATAGACGACGATGATGATAGACAGCAAAACTACGAGGCCTCACTGGCGTTGGGCCACGGCATTCTGCTGTTGAAGCAGCGCACCAAAAGCTAAGTCACCCGACAGCTCAAGTAGATCAGACGGAGCTTCCTGGTGCCCGAGTCAGTGCGCTGTCAGATGCACCTCCGATCCAAAGGACACCGGGCACGGCAGGCGGCGGAGACGGCCAAGAGAAGAGAAGAGCAAACAGCGGCAGTTGGAGGTGATAATGTAATTTTTATTGAAAGTAAACAATAAAAAAGTATTCTTCACACTTTCCCGTGTATTTTGGCACTTTCCGCGAGGCGATACGCCTTAGGATCGCCGAGAAACTCCCATTTCTGTTCCCGCCAGCAGTTTTCAATGGCAGGGCTGTCAGATTGGCCAAAAACCAGATTTTTTCCTGAGCCGCACACAGAGTACGTGACGCGGATTTAGCGCCATCATTTGCACTTGGTGACTTTTGGAACTACAGCTTCCTCACTTGTGCCGATAGATGGCGCTCCAAGCTGCTAAAAACAAAAGTGAGCGACGCCGCTGTCGCCATCTGTTAGCACTGACGGAGAAACTTTAGTTACTTTTATTTTTACTTCTACACTAGTGACAATAGATGGCGACAGCGGCGTCGCTCAATTTTGTTTTTAAAAGCTCATAGCGCCATCTATCGGCCCAGGTGGGAAAGCTGTAGTTCCAAAAGTCACCAAGTGCAACTAGTGGCGCTAAATCCGCGTCACGTACTCTGCGAGCCGCCCAGGAAAAATCTGATTTTTGGCCAATCTGACAACCCTGCCATTGAAAACTGCTGGTGGAACAGAAAACCAAGTTTCTCTGCGGTCCTAGGGCGTAGCGACTCGCGGAAAGTGTCAAAATGCTTGTGAATTTTTATTCTACAAAACCCAAGCTTCATTTGTCAACAAAAACTACTCCAACTACTCCTGCTCAACCTTGATCTTCACCTCTTCGCCACTTGTAACTCCTGCTTCATCGAGGCTGTTTACGTACGTCGAGGCAATGGACTGCGAGCGTTTAAAGTAGCCCTTGACCTTGGAGTCGGATCGGACTGCCTCCATGACGTCGTCAAAGAGCTTGGGCGTCCGGGGACGCTCCTTGAGGATGCTCCACTTTGATGCAAGAGCCCGCCACTTTGCGGTACGTACATAGTTGTCCTCTTGATAGTTCATGTGTGAAAAGTTGTGTTACAAAAGGTTTAGTAAAAATACTTTTAAAGCAGATTCACACTAGTATTTCAATAAAAAGTCATCAAGAAAAAGACAGCCTAAATAATGCCGGCATCCTTTGCCAACGAGTAGAAAATGGTGGAAGAGTCGGCGAGCAGATTGGCCGGAGAGTCGAATTCGGCCACATTTCCGGCATCGAGGACAAGCACCCGATCCGAGTCCATGATGGTGTTCAGGCGGTGGGCAATGGTGAAGATGGTACAGTGGGCGAACTGCGCCCGAATCGTACTTTGAATCAGCGAGTCCGTCTCCAGGTCGACGGCGGCTGTGGCCTCGTCCAGGACGAGAACGTTGGTTTTTCGAAGCAGCGCCCGAGCCAGGCAGATCAGCTGACGCTGACCCACGCTGAGGTTCTCGCCGCCCTCGGAGACGACGTGGGAGAGGCCATTTCCGAGCGAGTTGATAAACGGCTTCAGGTGGGCCAGCTCCAGGACTCGCCACAGCTGGTCGTCCGTCTGGTGGCCAAAGGGGTCGAGGTTTTGGCGAATGGTGCCACAGAAGAGAATCGGCTCCTGGGGGATGATGGTGATGCGAGAGCGGAGCGTCTGCAGGCCTGTTGACAAGCACAGAATTGATAAGATAATGATTGCTATACAAAACAAAGTTTTTGTTTGATAAACAGCAGCCTACCCAGCGTGGAAATGTCAATGCCGTCCATCCAGATGCGACCGGTGGCCGCCTCGATCAGCCGAAAGAGAGCCAGAGTTAGGCTTGATTTGCTGATTAAAAAGAGTTATCAACAAACTTATCAAATGCAGAGAAAGGGACAATCTAAAGCTTACCCTGCACCCGTCCGCCCGACAATGCCGATCTTCTCTGCTCGGGTCGTCGTCAGGTCGACACTGCGCAGCACCAAATCAAGCCCCGGACGGTAGCGTGTTCCGTAGGCCTCGAAGCACAGCCGCCCCACCTCGGGCCAGTCGGGACTGAGCTTCTCATCGGCCTCGCGGTACCAGGGCGCCTCGGGCGCCACCGAGGTGTACTCGGAGATGCGCTCCACCGAGACGATGTTGCAGTCCAGCTCGGCGTACATTCGCACGCACATGTTCAGCGCCAGCGTCATGTTGAGGGCGTAGCTGAGGGAGAGGCCAATGCCGCCGCCGGTGTTCTTGCCCAGCACGGCGAAGATGGCCGCAAAGAAGGTGAGCAGGGCGGCCATCATCTCCAGGCGAACCTGCAGCCAACAGTTGGCGACGGCGTTCGGGTAGAAGGCGGCGGTGTTGGCGTCGATTCGACTGTCCGCCTCGGCGATGAAGCGCTCCGTCGCCTGGTAGGCGCGAATCGTCGACACGCCGCTGATCGTCTCGCTGAAGTGCGTGAAGATCGGCGACCGGGAAACGGACTCGAGGCGCTTCAGCTGGCGCGTGGTGGCCACGTAGAAGCGCTGAATCAGCCCGTAGATGATGAGGAAGGGGATGACCACGGCGAGGAAGAGGGGCGTCTGCACGCTGACGGTGAACATGGTGGCGAGCACGTTGAAGCTGTGGTTCATGAGGATTCTTTGAGGATAAAAAGAGAATAAAAAAAGATTCATCAGTTGGCATCGAGTATTCAGCTTAAAAAGGCACCCACCGTATCAACATGGCCATGGCCGTGTCCAGGACGTCGATGTCTTTGCTGAAGCGGTTCACTATGCGCCCCAGGGGCGTCGTGTCGAAGAACCACATCGGCGCGTGGACGATGCTGCTGATGAGGGCCGCGTGCAGATTGGTGGACGCCCTTATGGTCCCTCTGATAATCGACAGCCAGCCGCAGATGACAAAGAGGAACTGCGTCGCGCCGATGAGAAAGTAGAACAGCAGGTTGAGTCGCGTATCCTTCTCGTACTCCGTCGACCCGGGCACCTGATCCGCCATCGTGTCGGTCCAGTGGCTGAGCCAGAAGTTCGCTCCGTAGCTGCTGACGACCATCATGAAGTAGAGAAAGACGATGGCAGCGGACCAGGTGAAGCCGAGGCTGGCGAAGAACTTCCGGTACACGGCAAAGGTCACCGTGCCCGACTCCATCTTCTCCGCCTCCACCAACTTCGACTTGGCCTTCAGCTCCTCGTAGGCGCTGGTCAGCGTTTTCGTGTGTTTAGTTTGTCCCTGCTGTTGTTGGGCTAGTAACATCGACGGGCTGGAGCCGACGGAATTGTGGCGCTCTCGAGTGCTGAACAGCGTCAGGCCGCTGGTGATGCTGAAAGTGCGACCGAGCATGGCGCGAGTTTCATCAGGGACGACGCCCGCTTCGAGGAAGTGCTCATCTTCCTCGACCATCATCATTTGGTGTTGATCAGTATCACCACCACCAATGCCCTCTTCGTGATGATCACCACCTTCACTGTTGCCTAACTTCTGAGGGTCAAGATTCGCCGAGTTGGAGTGGTAGTTGGCGATCAGGTCGCTGAAGACGGGCGTGTCCGCCATCAGCGCCTCGTAGGTGCCCACCGCCTCGACGTGGCCGTTCTTCAGCAGGACAATCTGGTCAACGTGGGGCAGCATGTACAGGGCGTTGGTGACCAGAATTCGCGTCCGGTTTCGAAGGAGGCCGGTTCGGGAGTCGAGCACCTGCTCGAAGATGTGCCGGCCGACGTGCGAATCGACGGCAGAGAGCGGGTCATCAAAGAGGTACAGTGCCGCCTGAGAGTAGCAGGCTCGGGCGATGCTGATGCGTTGTTTTTGGCCTGCAAAAAGAAAAAAGGTTTGAAATGAAAAAACTTAAAAAAATACTCCTTTTCTAATGCTGCATTACCTCCACTCAGGTTGATGCCCTTCTCGCCGATCTCGGTGGCGTCCCCAGCGGAGAGCATGGCCAGATCAGGTTTCAGGGCACACGCCTCAATGACCTTGTTGTACTTGTCCGGGGAGTACTTCTTCCCGAAGAGGATGTTATCCCGCACGGTGGCATTCTGGATCCACGCCTGCTGGGCGACGTAGGCCAACTTCTGCTGGTCGGGCGCAATGGCCACCACGCCCGCCGAGCCGCCCACCTTTTCCATTTCTCCTAGCAGGGCGTACAGCAGCGAGGACTTTCCCGAGCCGACGGAGCCAACGACGGCCACCAGAGATCCCTTGGGAATGGCCAGACTGATGTTGGTCAGTGTCCGCGTTGAGGTCGGGTCGGTGGCCCGGCCCCAGGTGAAGGTGGCGTTCTTCAGCTCGACGGCGTTTTCTTGTACATCGTCTTCATCCTGTTTGCTTTCTGCTGCCTTTAGGTTTCGGTTTTTAGCTTCTCGATTACTTTCTTTAGTTGTTAGAAAGTGCTGTCCGGCGGTGGTGGTCGTTGCCTTCTCCAGGTAGTCCGTCGTCTCGTCTGTGCCGAGAAAGTTGTTGAGTCGTTTCAGGGCGACCATGACCTGCGGGAAAAAGGTTTTGATTTGATTATCAAGTACTTTATCTCTTCTTTATCACTTCTTCGCTTTTCACTTACCAACATCAGACTGGTGGCCATGTTGGGAATCTGCGCCAGTGGCACGCGAAGCATATTGAAGAGTGCCACCGAGACGAAGGCCTTCTCTGCGGTCAGGTAGTTGCCCTCGCCGCCGAAGAAGATGTAAAGGGTGAAGGTGAGACAGGTGACCATGAAGGGGCTGGTGTAGGCGATCAGATTGAAAATGGTGGTCACGTAGCCGGACATGCGAATGTAGTGCAGCTCTTGAGAGCGAATCTCCTCGATGTTCCGCACGATGGCCTCCTCCCAGGCGTACAGCTAAGTTAAAGTTGACAAAAGTAGAAAAAGATTAAACGTTGATAACAGAAAAAAACACATTTTAGTTGTATTATCATCAAAGAAGGTTACCTTTAAAACCTTCATTCCGTTGAGCATCTCGGTGATCGCCTTCAGCCGACGGTCCTTCAGCTCCATCTGCTTCGCCTGAATGCGCTTCACAAAGTTCATCGCCCAGCCCTGAATGGGAATGAAGAGGATCATGAGAAGCAGGCCGCCCATCACCGAGTAGCCCAGCTCCGTCCAGAGGAGGTAGATGGCGATGACGATCTGCACCGGGGCCGTCCACAGAAAGCAGATCCACGGGAGGAGGTCGATGAAGCGTTGGCTGTCCACGGCGCACAGGTTGACGATCTCCCCGGTGGTGTAGCTGCTCTTGGAGTGGGCGGCCAACACGAGGGACTTTCGGTAGATGGCGCTCATCAGGGCGGTGCGAATGCGCATGCCCAGCACGGCCATACGGTGCTGTTGATAGGCCGATGTCAGGCTGCTGCTGATGTTGGTCAGCACAAAGATGGCACTGTAGAAGAAGCCGTGCCAGGCGGGCGCAGAGGGGTCAGTGGTGAAGGTGATGAGGTATCTGATGGAAAAGAAAAGATAAGATTTGATAAAATAACTCCAGCAATAATGTGTAAGTTCCACTTACTTCATTACAATGGGATTCGCCAGATTGACAATGTCGGTGACAAAGCGGGCTGCACATGGCAGAAAGAAGTACTTGCCAAACTGCTGAAAAATGACAAACACTACGTTGGTTTTGGGATTTGTTGTAAACGGCTTCGGTCCTTTGTGTTTAGAGTCATCGTTTTTGTCTTGTGAATTCTTTTTGTTGCCTTTATTGCTGTGTCCATTTGAAGGAGATGAGGTAGTAAAGTAGTCCGATATCTCATCTTTAAAGGAGGCATTTCGAAAGGCTTCATTGCGGATCAGGTGATCCGGCTTCTTATCATCACTCTCTTTCTTAAACTGCTTGTGTCGCCAGAAACGGTTAAAGTGCTCAAAGATGTTCGCCGCCTTGTCGTGCGACCGAATCGCCCACAGGTCATCGCGGGTGAGGTCCTTCCGAAAGCCGGTGAAGATGATCTTGTTGTACCACCAAAAGGTGAGCTTCGAGGTGAACGAGGCGACCTCCTTTGGACAGAGCTTTGCCTGGCTGGCCAGCGGCCTCGACAGCGACCAGGACCGCCAGTGCTGGTCAGTGGAGGGCGGCGGCTCGTCGGCAAAGGAGCAGATGAGCAGGAGGATAATCTCAATGCCCAGCGTGATGAAGATGATAATTAGCTGAACGAAGTTCTTATGGTCGGAGTAGTGGAGGTAGGTGGGANAAGGTGCACCAGCACCAGAAGGACAACGTTGGTGAGCAGGTAGATGCAGGAGGAGAGAATCTCCGCCTTGGAGATGGGAAAGTCATTTTGGCTCCAGAGGTAGCTGAGGTAGGCGATCTNATGCCCAGCGTGATGAAGATGATAATTAGCTGAACGAAGTTCTTATGGTCGGAGTAGTGGAGGTAGGTGGGAATGCAGAGGCCGGTGGCGATGATCTTCAGGAGAAAGTAGAACCAAATGGCGCCGCCGTTGATGAAGCCGAAACGGCGTTGAAGGTGCACCAGCACGAGCAGGACAATGTTGGTGACCAGGTAGATGCAGGAGGAGAGAATCTCCGCCTTGGAGATAGGAAAGTCATTTTGGCTCCAGAGGTAGCTGAGGTAGGCGATTTGGAAGGCGGAGATGGCGCCGTTCAGGGCGATGATGAGAGATTTGATGTAGTTGAAGCGAGAGGTGCTCAGCGGCTTCCGCTTGCTCTTCGAGTGCTCGTACAGCAGATAGGGCACGTTCAGGTAGAGGAAAAGCGCCGGCACCCAGGTGAGGGCGGTGTCGGTGAAGCAGGGCGTGAAGGCCGGCGTGGTCGTGTTCCAGGTGGCATCATTGTCCTAGAGTAAAGGAGTGAAAAAAGTTACTGAAACTGTTCAGGATAAAGTTGTTCATCAAGCAACAAAAGCAAAGGGCTGTTCACATACCCAAAACGGCGTGTCACAGATTGCCTCCAGGCGTACAACTGCCGCCATTGTACTTGCCGTCGTCGTTGTTGTCGTCGTCTGTTTTTGTTGGCACAAAACGGTCTTAAGATACAGAAGGTACAGAAAGGTTATTGTACAGCGGTTGATTTGCGATGTACGACACAACGGCCGTTGAAGTGGTGGCTGGAGGACTTTGGCTTGCCGGTACGTGCTGACTGGACTCTTTAAAGGGAGGCTTCTTATTCAAATTGACGATTTTTGTTCTCTCTCTTTCTACACCACTTTTTCCTTGCTATCTAATTACTGATTAAGTTAAAATGTTTAAGTGTTAGGTAGAGCGCATTATTGCCGGCTGGTTAACAAGGGAGTTGTAAATTAGCAGAAAATGATTAAAAAGTTAAAAGTTGTAAATGATTGGAGGTGATTTAGTTTGAATTTAGTAAAAAATGGTATGATTTTTTAGTTGTAGCACCGGTAATGGCATAAATTGTGAAAGTTTTCCCATTTTTTATTGCTCGACTTCACGTTACGCGGTTATCGTTTTATATGAGAACAGATAAAGAAGCTGAATAAAGCTTTATTTTGACATTGTGCCAGCATTAGTTTTATTAGTTGGTGTACATTTTTACCATATTTTAAAATGTTCACCATCACTTATCAGATAAAATTTAACCACTGCCGTCAGTTACTACATTTAATATGATCACTGAATTACAAACGATGATAAAAACTAGAATCATTTTGCACACAAGTAAGTTAATTAGTGCAAAGTTTATTACAACTGACAAAAACGTTTGACAAGTTAGCGTTATCAGACTACAACAAAATCATCATTTTTGTCTTTATTGCTACTACAAAGTTATAGTTATTATGATGATAAAAACAAGGTTGATTTATTAATAGGGTCGTAAAACTAAAACTTTATCACTTTAAACAGAATGTCACAACTGCAGCGAGTAACTTAAAAAACATTTTGAAATTAAGTTATATTTTAAGAGTGTCATGTTGACTTTGGACTTTGAAAGGAAAAGGCTAGCCAGCACTGATATCATTGTCAAAACAAAGTAAGTCTGCTGCAAGTAAAATAAACAGATAGGTAAATTTCAGTAACTAGGAAGTGCATTTAAAACACTACTATAAAACTCACTACTTTACAATTAAAAATTTTGTCTTTTTAAAAAATGTATACTGATCTTTAAGGGAGAATAGGAAAAAGAAGATTGTGTAAATTTTAATTATTTTTTGAACTGTATTTATTTATCATTTAACAAAATTTTATTTTTTGCACATCAATTTTTATCAGCATTTTAAGAAGAATTTTAATTGCTTTGAATTGTTCTATTTAAGAATAGTACAAAATCAAAATTAATTTAGTTAAAACAATAAAACTGAACATTCAAAATTAAAACAAAAAGATTAAAACTAATTATTGCAACTCTTTATTATGCAAAAGTTAGCGGTTACAATTTTAGAGCGCAACAGAATAATTTTAGCATTTTTTCAGTGTAACTTTTGCCAGCATTTTGCATTGGATATGTAAAACGCGCGCCAGCAATGCCAAAAACCGCCAGCATGCAGACAGAAGCGGTCAAAACATTTGCAAACTTGTTTGCAATGCGACGTAATGAACATTGAAAACATCAAGTGAAAAGCGTACAGTGAAATGCTGTCTAATCAATCAATCAACGACATTAGCGACTTTTTTCTCTTTTTTCATCATCTACCTTAATGGCAGTAATTCAAGGACTGACGCCTGGTTCTTTTTTTTGTACAGCCACGTGCTCAAAAGTGCACATTAGAATGGCTGATTAAACTCTGTTGATTAAATTGTTTCGCTCCTTCAGTCCACTCTAATCGCTTTCAGGTTTTGCAATCTCTCTTTTCTTTTTCCTTTTCTCTGCTGTTTAAAAAGAGGGTGCATAAATTACCCCTTCAGACGACTCCTGCCAGTTCAGCAACTTGCGCTTTCGTTTAGAAAAAGTTCACTGTAATTGCCAACTTGAAAAGGAAGAAAAAATTGCTAAATTACTTAAACATTTGTCTGAACTGTTTTGTTCCTGTTTCCTTCTCAAAAAGCTAACCAACAACTCTCAATTTGTGTTTGTGCAAATAAAATTTTTAATATTTGGTTTCTCAACTTTAAAAATGAACATTGAAACTGCTTGTCTGCTAATTTGTTTACTGCTTGCCAACCTGTAATTATCCACCCTCTTTTTAGACTAATGATAAACAGTTTGAGTTTCTGCTTTTAAATTACTATTTAAATGACAACATTTTTAATTTTTTTGATTTGCCAGGATTTCTACCGGCCAGGCAGTGAAAGAGGCAGTGAGAGAATCACTGGCGGAGAAGACGCGAAAAGTCTTTGACCAGCTGCTGCCTGCTGACTACAACAAAAACCTGGCGCCCATTCAGGAGGATGAGCCGCTGCAGGTGAACGTCTCACTGCTCATCACCGACATCAGCTCCATTTCAGAGAATAAAATGGTGCGTACTTTTAGGTTTCATTGTCTTGTTTTGTTTTTTACTTATTTAAAAATTAAATCTTACAGGAGTTTGTCGTCGACTTCTACATCCGCCAAACCTGGAACGACTACCGTCTGCAGTTTGGCGGTGACAGCGGTGGCACTACCACTACCACCACCGACAACAACAACCCTGAAAACAACAACACCGAAAACAGCAACAACAGCAGCNGGTGCGTACTTTTAGGTTTCATTGTCTTGTTTTGTTTTTTACTTATTTAAAAATTAAATCTTACAGGAGTTTGTCGTCGACTTCTACATCCGCCAAACCTGGAACGACTACCGTCTGCAGTTTGGCGGTGACAGCGGTGGCACTACCACCACCACCACCGACAACAACAACCCTGAAAACAACAACACCGAAAATAATAGCAACAATAGCAGCAGCAGCAGCAGCAGCAGCATCACCGGCTTCATACTGGACGACGACTTTGCGCAGAAGCTATGGCTGCCGGACACGTACTTTGAGAACGCGAAGAAGCTGGACATCCACCGGACGGTGGCCAGCCGCGAGACGAAGGTGCTGATGATACTGGGCAATGGGCACATCTTCTACGCAACGAAGGCCTCGCTCACCGCCAAGTGCAGCATGGACCTGACGCACTTTCCCATCGACCAGCAGCGCTGCTCACTGCAAATTGGCAGCTGTGAGTGATTGGTTGGCAGTAAAAGATCATTACAAAGTTATCTTAGTCCTAAACATTTTCCCCTTCAGACAGCGGCCCCTCCACCCATGTCACCTACTCCTGGGCGCTTCCCGACGTGCCGCCTGATAACAGTCCCAATGACAATGCCAATGCCAATCATCATCAGCAACAGCAGCAATACTCTACCATCAAGGAGGTGGTCCAGTTCACCGAGGACAGCTACCTCTACCTGCCCACCTTTAAGCTGCTGGGCTACAACACCCACCAGCTGACGGTGGACCTTGCTGGTGGCCCCTTCAGTCAGCCCTTCAGCGTCCTCCGACTGGATCTGATGATGGCGAGGAACATCAACTTCTACCTGACCCGGGTCTATCTGCCCGCCTTCCTCGTCACCATCATCTCCTTCGTGCCCTTCTGGCTGGACCGGGACTCGCACGCCCGCGTGGCGCTGGGCGTCACCAC